TCGACTGCATAAAAATCTGAAACTGGATTTACTGAACATGTCTATGGCCCAACTGCGTCTGTGTGGTGTTAAGGTAACAGTGGCAATCATGGGAGTGTTGGTGAAAACATCGCTTCTAATTTGCTTTAAAAACAAACAAAAAACTTGGGAGAAGGAGTTAAACTCAGCAAAAGCAGGAGGAAATGGAGAACCTGGAGCAGTCCCTTACTTGCTTCATTCTGCTGGGGCAAATAGCTTTCTGCTTCGTGATTGGGGTGGGGGCAAGAGGCCAGAAAACTCTTTATTTTTGTGCTGTGCTGGCCAGTCCCCAGGAGCGTTCCCACAACTTTGCCCCAGAGCTGTAGTGCTCTCACACTTCCCCTGTGCTGTGGTGCTGCACCCTTGTCATTCTGTGCTGGGGATATAAAAAGGTAAGAGGCTTGGCTGCTGCTACCACTCGGTAACCTCTCCACCAACAACCTGTATGTTGTTGGACTGTTTGTTTGTTTCTTTTCTCCCATTCTTCCTCCATTTTCCTGTACTTACATTTTCCCTTGTGCTGTTTCTCTTCCTTTGAGTCTCCCTATTCTTCCCAGGGTACAAGAGTCCCAGCTAGAGGAGCCCTGTGTATGATGAAACTTTGCCCTAGGGTTGTTGGTTTACGGGCATAGGCAGACAAGGTCCTTTGTGCTGATGTGACATCTTTTATTAGACTAACTAAACAGTTGGAAAGATTCTTCTTTGCAAGCTTTTGGGCACAAACACCCTTCTTCAGGCAGAGGGACTTTACTCCTTATGCGCCTAGGGATTTTCCCTCGTCCTGAAGAAGGGTGGTTGTACCCAAAAGCTTAGAAGGAAGAATCTTTCCAACTGTATAGTTAGTCTAATAAAGGATGTCACATCAACACAAAGGACGTTGCCTGTCCTGGTCCCGGCGGCCTCAGCTGCAAGCGGCTTGGGCGCCCGCCAGGAGGCGTTATCCGTTTTCCTGCTCCGTCAAACCTGGGCGCTTCCTGTTGGCGAAGTCTCGCGAGAGCTCGGCGTTCACATGGGCCGGCGGAAGCCGCGTCTGCTCCTTTTTCCGGGCGGCCATAGCGGAGCCTGCAACGGGGTAAGGGTGCCTCGGGCTGGGCGGCTTTAATCCACCGCCATCCTCCC